TATTTCCTGAAAATATTTACTAAGCTGAGTAGGCTCTCTGATCCACTTTTTGCACAGAATTGTACAAAATTAGACATTGATAAGAGAGTGGTAGCGAGATGCTAAAGGTTACCTAAATTAAAAAAAAATACACATAAATATTAAACAAATCAAATTATTTACTAGCAAAGTGATAATGGTTTTAGGATTTTTTATGTTAATTCACCTCAAACGAGATGCTAAAAGATAAGCATTTCAGCAAAAATAAAAATTAATTAATGAATAAGTATTGAAAATATCGTTTGAAATCAGATAATTCCCTGATTTTTTTGCAACTATTTTCAAACAGAGTGTAGCGATTTAGGGGCTTTCAAAAAAAAAAGCATCCATTTTGGCGGTAAAAAATAAATAAAGAACTACCAAACTGAAATCTATTGAACTGCTTTAATTACGACAATCTCATTAATGACAGTTTATGGCATACCCAACCCATAAAAAATAATGCCACAGTGCAAAGGAGAGAGGCTTGGCCTGGGCAACACCGAGTAACATCGCTAGTTCTAAATTCTAGAAAATTAAAGTAATTTTGTCGCGGCCGCCATTGGCCGTTCTCTAAAACGGAAGAGAACAGGACTCTTCGACCTTGACTTTTTTGATCATGTTCCCTACACGCTGTGTAATTTAGTCTCATTTAGTTTTAGAATTGAGCTAATTACTTTTTAGTTCCGTTTGTATTACGAACCTAGTCGTAATAAATCTCTTAAGCATCTTTAGATCTTTGTTTTTTTTTTCGTAGCAAATCTCAATTCATTTTTAGAGAGATTTTTTTAGTATTTTTGCGAGACCGTGTCTATTGCTGGTCTCCCTTAACATAAAACGGCGACTTCTCGCCGAATTCGGGTTCGGTACACAGGCTGCACGCCTAACCGCAAGCCGGACTACTTGTCGTGGTTAATCTTGGCCCCTGTCACATTTTCGTACCGATCAAGCGCCTTCAGTACCGCCTCAATGTCGCTGCGGGACGACACGAAAGCAGATACGTCATCGGCATACGCAGAAGCCCAGGCTCGAGCCCCTCCAGGAATGGCGATTCCGCGTAGATCCGGACTGCACGCCCTGTCCCTCAGTCGGCGAAGGAGAGGCTCCAACGCCAAAGCATAAAGTAGGGGCGACAGTAGACAACCCTGACGAACCGACCTAGACAGCGCCGCAAAAGAGCCCGACAGCTTCCCGTTCACCTGTACTACAGCACTGGAGGAGCGATACAGGAGGCTAATCCAGCAGCAGAAGTCCGGTGCGAATTCTGCGGCCTGCAGGACAGTCGCAAGGTAGCGATGGTCAACCCTATCAAATGTCTTGGACTGATCTAAATTGATCAGCGCGGCCTTATCGTCGTCTTTTACACCCTCTATGATCGTGCGGACCAGATACAGGTTGCTCTGAATTGTTTCGCCCCTCAGGGTTTCCGCGTATGCCGATGACGTATCTGCTTTCGTATCGTCCCGTAGAGACATAGAGATGGTACTGAAGGCGCTTGATCGGTACGAAATGGTGACAGGGGCCAAGATTAACCGCGACAAGTCGTCCGGTTTGCGGTTAGGTGCCTGGAAGGGGGTCGATATTCCAGGGCCCTTCGGTTGGACGGACAGTCCTGTCCGCATTCTTGGAATGTGGTTTGGACACGACCTCCAGTTGGAGAAAAATTGGTCTGAAGTACGAGCAAAGGTCGACGCGGCTGGTTAGACTTGGCGTCGACGGAGGTTGTCCTTGAAGGGCATGGCAGAGGTGTGTGCCACTTACGTTTTATCGATTGTCCGTACTTCCTCTCAGTAAGGATCCTAGGTAGCCGCTCGAGCGCTCGCTATCTTCCATTTTGTGGAGGGGACGCAAGCATCACGTCAATAGAGAAGCGTGTGCACAACGACCGTGTCATGGGGGGTGCTGGGAATGCCGCACTTGGTGAGCCACAAACTCGCCTCGAGGCTTGCTTTCTTACGCCGCGCATTGACAGGAGATTCCATTATGGCGAGGAATATTAGGGACGTATTCCCTTTCCTTACTATCAGTCCCCCCCCCATCTCGCGGGTTGAGCGCCGTCGTAAACCTCGGGATCAATCGGATGTCCTTCGCGAGTGTCGTCACGCCTTGACGATTATTCCTCGGTCCAGTGACCTTTCACGGCCTAGGAGGGTCTTCTATCGTTATTTTGTGGAGGGGGGCGCGAAGAATCCTCTGCGTGGGAGGAGTTTCGCTCCTTCTGGTCTTGGGCGCCAGCGGCGGATTATCTCAGTAACCCTGAGTTTTCGCTTACCTGGCGATTGGCTCGGAATCGGCTGCCTCTCAATGACAAGGTCTTCATATGAGGCTTGGCGGATTTGCCAGACTGTGAATGTTGTGACCTTGGTTTAGAGGAAACGGCTTCGTATGCCTTCTACCATTGTCCCCGGGTCCGCCCCTTATGGGGCCATGTCGGCGAGCTGACGGTTCGTCTCGCTCCCGGAAAGCTCGTGCTTATGGATCGCGCATACGCGTGTGACAATGTGTCGCCCTCGTATTTTGGGGTGAAACGAATGGTGTTTCTGACGCTGCTGGCCACGGCCCGAATGGTGATTTGGACGACGCGAATGGAGGAAGTCTTGCGAGGCAACCATCTTTCTCTGATCCGATTCTTTGAGCATCAGCTCAAGATGAAGATTAGAACTGATAGAAAACGTTTGCATTCGACAGTCTTCAGCGAAAGGTGGGTGACTGAGGTTAGCTTGGTTCGTTTGAACGGGGCTAGCCTTGATTTTCTCTTTTAGGTCAACCTACGTCGCATCGGGGTGGTTTCCTGCGGAGCCCTCCCCTTGGTTAGGTTAGATAAACTTTTGTGTACCTAGTTAATGTGAGTAAATGTTGTTCCTGGTCTGTTCCCGATTGCATCTTTGGTTATGATCCAAGTTGTGATTCCCAACCTCCCCAGTTCGTTTTGGCCCCTTTTATCTCGACTGGGTCAGCTTTTTCTTTCTCATGTTTCAACACTCATACAATTCACTATAACTGATAAACCCACTATAAATTAAAATTTATAATTTCTTAGGGTGAATTAATATTTACGATAAGTAATTTTACATTATTTGGGGTGAGTTTTAACAGAAAAGATCCTTTTAATTTAACCTATCGGCATAATAAAGAGAATCTTAGTAAACAAGTCACAGGAAAAAAATTACACTAAAAAAGCAAAAAGAAACAGGTCAATGTTAGCACACTGTGGACAAAATCCCGGCCTCTTATCCAAAAATGGGGAAAATCCCAGCCTCTTATCTCAAAAGTGGACAAAATCTCAGCCTCTTGGATGTTATGGCTATTAGTGCTGGGTTGATTCTTTCACCTAAACATCCAAAACTTGTTGAATTGCCTTCGTCGCTGAAATAAATAGACAAAAAAAAAAAAAAAAAAAAAGACGGAAGGATACGGAGACACTAGAGGGACAGTTTAGGACACTGATTTTATTTCCTTCTTTTGGATTCCAACGACCTCTTGTTGGGGAATTTCCTTCCCGAACAGTTGGCACGTGTTTACCAGTCAAGGTCCAACAGAGAAAGAGAGAGATTCTTCTTGTTTATTTTCGGCACTAGGAAATCTCTCTCTTTTTTTTTTTTTTTTTGCACATGCGTAAATTGTCTTTCCTGTCAGAGGACTCCTGGGAGATTTTTATGTTTATTTTATTTTGTACTTTTATTTAATTTTGTATTTTTATTTTATTTCGTGTTTTTATTTTATCCCCAAATTGGACAAAATTCCAGGAATTTTTAATTAAAATGTTAATATCAAATTGAGACCCTCTTCACATATGAAAGTCATGTCATTATGGGATCCTAGGACTCCATAAATATGACTGAAATATATCGAATATGTGACCGTGGCATTGTTAGAAATGCTTTTACTATTTAGTAAATAAAAACTTACGCTGAATTTCTGTTGCAGACAGAACGGACCCTCATGGAATACCAGACAGATGACTTTATCACCGGACACCATGATTTAATTTTAAAAATCGTGGCATTTTTCCTAGCCAAAACTGTTACTTTTTTCTGTTACTCCCCACACCCCGATGACTTTAATACCGGCCATGAATAAAAAAAACCAGAAACATTTGACTCATTTGAGGGAAATGAAAAACGAGATATTTGAGTAGATTTATTTTAACTAACAGGCTCTAGGTAAAATAAGTAATTAAAGACGCAGTTCCTCTGAAATGTAAAAAACATTAATTAACATTGCCAGGTCTTTAGATATCGATTTCACCAGACAGGTAGAAAATAATCTGGTGAAATCGGAGTCCTCGAAAAGGAGCAGCCCGTAGCATTTACTACTAAAAAAAAACTTAATCATATATCTGCGTTATAGAAATTTAATGAATTAAGCATTATAATTATATGCCTTTCCGTCTCGCCTGTTGTGAGTATGACAATCAAGACAAGTATACGAATCCGAATGGGAAAAAAAAGGCATAATTTTATTATAATAATTCATAAGCTCAAAAATTCCGACAAACGATCTGAACGTGTTCGGAATTTCGAATTCTGTTATTCTCGAATCTACTTTTCTCTCTTTTCGAATTGGAGAGCGTCACTTTTCTGTTGGCGGGAGTTTCATGTCTTGTTATGAAAGCAAGACGATAACTATTGACGGGGGAAAAAGATGTTTATTTTTGTGTAAGCCATGAAAATTGAGACTTTATTTATAATTTAATGAACTTTAATGAACTCTGATTGCTTTATACAACCAGCATCGACATTTATTTACAAAGTAAATGTTTTTTCGTTTTTTTTTTTTTTAAACAAATACTTGTTGCTGTTTGACTGGAAGTGAAGAAGATATATAATGTTATTGAATTGAAGCCATAAACAAATATATTGTTTATTAGCATATCAAATTTATTTGTATATATTATTATTATTGTTATTATTAATAATTATTGATCTGCAAATATGAATTGGCAAAAGGTTCAGCTACTTCTTGAATCTATACAAAAAAACATGGACTGTCCGATTTGGTAAGTTAGTTTTTTTTTTGTATTTTTGTGTTATTTCTTTCTTGCTTGACTGAAAGTTTTTAACTTTAGTGAAGGAAAATTCATGTAAATTGTTCATAATTTTGTTAATTATTTTCACTGAATTTTATTTTAATTTTTTGTTTATTATAAGTGAATTAACAACGACAATGTGTTTTTACTTTTAAAATTTTTCACAGCATTGTTTTTGAGTTTTTAATGGTATTTTTTTTAAATGTTTAACTGCTGAGAAAATAAAGAAAAAAAAACGAAGAAAAAAAATGTATTTAAAATTTACTAACAACGATATTAATAAAATATATAATAAAAATCCTTTTTACTTTAAACCGTATTTGGCGTGTTGAGAAAATTGTGTTTACGTTTTTCATGTAGGCAGCTCCATTGAATTTTCGATACTTAAAGTTTTAAAATGAATTTTTAAAAACGAAAAAGCATTCTTGAAGATTTCATTTTAGTTTTAATTGAAAGATAAATGATTAAATTTACTATTTCCAGTAAGTAAAATATTCTGGTGTATTTCAAATAAAACTTATATAAATCAGAATCTCATTTTGTTTGGGGTCGATTTAAGAAAACAAGCGACCATTTTTTTTTTTTTTTTTTTAATTTTAGGAAATTTGTAAAAACAGAATTATCGTATTTTTTTTAAATCTTCCAAAAATGAAATATTTATTTGATTGTGACACGTTATTTGAATAAAAATTAGCAAATTATTAACTATTAAGTATAGATATTTAAATGATGGAGTGTTTTGTCACGTGTCTTTTATTAGTTATTATTTCTTGGTTATGGATATTATTTCTTGGTTATTATTGGATATTATTTCTTGGTTGTTATTATTATTGGATATTATTTCTTGGTTATTATTATTATTATTACATATTATTTCTTGGTTATTGTTATTATGATTTCTTGGTTGTTAATATTATTATTAATTACATATTATTTCTTGGTTATTATTATTATTATTAGATATTATTTCTTGGTTATTATTATTATTATTATTAGATATTATTTCTTTATTATTATTAGATATTATTTCTTGGTTATTATTATTATTATTAGATATGATTTCTTGGTTATTATTATTATTATTAGATATTATTTCTTGGTTATTATTATTATTAGATATTATTTCTTGGTTATATTATTATTATTATTATTAGATATTATTTCTTGTTATTTATTATTATTATTAGATATTATTTCTTGGTTATTATTATTATTATTATTAGATATTATTTCTTGGTTATTATTATTATTATTATTAGATATTATTTCTTGGTTTTATTATTATTATTATTAGATATTATTTCTTGGTTATTATTATTATTATTATTAGATATTATTTCTTGGTTATTATTATTATTATTATTAGATATTATTTCTTGGTTATTATTATTATTATTATTAGATATTATTTCTTGGTTATTATTATTAGATATTATTTCTTGGTTATTATTATTATTATTATTAGATATTATTTCTTGGTTATTATTATTATTATTAAGAGATATTATTTCTTGGTTATTATTATTAGATATTATTTCTTGGTTATTATTATTAGATATTATTTCTTGGTTATTATTATTATTAGATATGATTTCTTTTATTATTATTATTAGATATTATTTCTTGGTTATTATTATTGTTAATATTATTAGATATTATTTCTTGGTTATTATTATTATTATTAGATATTATTTCTTGGTTATTATTATTATTATTAGATATTATTTCTTGGTTATTATTATTATTATTAGATATTATTTCTTGGTTATTATTATTATTATGTTGGATAGTTATTGGTTATGCGTGCATGCATAGTTTGTTAATAATTTGTTTATAAGTTTCTGTTTTTAAAGACTTAATTTAATTTGTTTTGACGTACACGTGCACAGTTTACTTTTTGCTGTTTTGAAAATCTGGAGAAAGCTTGAGTATTGTTCAGTTTAGCGTTTCAAACAATTTTCAAGTTTACTTTGTACATTAACCTTTTTTTTTTCTTTTTGAACTAGCCTAATATTTTTAGTCTTCCGTTGGAAGTTGAAACGTCATGTTTTTGAAATAATACGAAAAAAATCAGTTAATTACTATTAATTATTATTATTTTCTTAACCCTTTCCCGGCATACGTTTTTACCGAAAAGTTTCCTTTTCAGAGACTGTCGAATAAACACGTCCACCGAAACATAACGTTAAAATACGTCGACGATCCTTTTTTTTTTTTTTTTTTTTAAATACCCTTTTTGAGCTTCAAACGAGTCCAATTGTCAAAACTTATACATCTGGTGTAGGTGTTAGCCACCGCTCGGGTACTTCAAGGTGCCTCAGTTCCTTAATTACTAAAAACAAAACAAAACAAAAAAAATTGTAAAAGAAATCTTTTTCCCCTAAAATAATTGCTGAGGAAGGGGTTACCGTTAAAAATAAAAGTTTAAGTCACTACTTAAGTAGACTGGTCCAAACATAAAAAAAAAGTTAATTTTTGGAGATTAGCATTTAAAGAGAAGGATGGAGATCAAGGTCAAGGTATCAGAAGATGTCGATTGACATTACATTTGAATATTAGAAGATTATAGCTATCAAAGGAACAAGTAGGAGGAAGTAAGCTTCACTGTCAGGAAGTGCGAGAGAGAAAGGTGCAATGTTGTTTTTATTTTAGTCTTTTTTTGTTCGCTTAAGAAGAGGATTGACAATATCTCCAACAAGGATTATATCTGTTTTATATCTTCTAAAATTTTTATAAAAATAAAAAAGTGTAAGTCTTTCTTTTTAGGCTTTTGTATCCATTTTTGAACAGAAGTGTCTCCATAAAGGATTACGTCTCCATTAGCTATAATATTTCCTCACGGAGATTTTTGGCATGTCTTTCCTCAGTAAATATGCTAAGTCAGTTACCTCTAACTTGGTATTTTAATGTATTAATCTTTCATTTAATATCTCAGTATATCTCATACTTACCTTTTCTAATGCAACATCTATATATATATATATATATATATATATATATATATATATATATATGTTGTATTACCTTCATCTATAGAATAAATGTGAATGTTAGTGTGTCACACTTTTTCAACTTTACTCTGTCTAACATAACTATTGTTACGAGGATGCATTTCTATAATAAGGGATTTCACTGAGTTCTACTTGTTATTACAAAAAAGTTTTCATTCATGAAGTAGTTGTAAAATAGAGAAATTAGAAATAGAATGTTTGGAAGATTCTAGATCATTCTAGTATATTCGAGAAAAATCTAGATGATTCGAGAAACATCTAGAAATATGCAAATTAGGTGTTAGCCCCTATAAAAATGGGATTTTGGAAAAGGGTTGTCAGTTGAAGAAGGGGTATTTCTGCTGTTATCAACTCCGGCTTTTGATTTATATCCAGCCGAAAGAATCTCTATAAAAAGTTGCCGACCAACCAAAACCCAAAAGAGAATTTCATGGAACAAAGTTGGTAAATAGAATTTTGACTAATTTTCATTGACCAAACTAAAAATTAATATTTATTTACACACCTTTGTGGATTTCCAAATATAGTACTTAGATTACTTCACTAGCCCTAAAGTGATAAAGATATTTGATTGCCTTTCCTTCTCCCTCGTAACACTCCGCCAGTAACTCTCTGTTTTCTGTTTTGTAGGCCACAATTGTTTATCTTGTATATATTTTATGTTCTGTTTTAGTAAATTAAATATTTGTTTGTGATTTAGCTCTGTGTTGTGGTAAATCATTTTTTTTCCTTTGTTACAATTATCAACACGTAACACTATCCTGGGTACGGCAATAAAATACGTCCAACAGTAAGGCCTCTAAGAGGTTTGAGGAGCACGTAACATATTTGATGAGCTTAAGTAAATAGATTGGAGAAATAACAAAAAGACAAAACTTATTAAGATCTACAAGAGACAGGAAGATGTGGAGGTCCATGATCGCCTGCATCCTGAAGGAACACAACACATTATAATTTAACCCTGTAGACTTACTGTGGTGTATAGAGCAACAACATGAAAACACAGAGTCCTGCTGTTGCGGTTTCCGTAGTCAGTTATGTGCCATGCGTGATACATGCTTAGGTGATCATGTATCTTTCCATACATGACTGACATGGCAGATTTTTTTTTTTTTTTTACAGTAGGTTGCCATTTCTTTCTGTGGTAGACCAGTGGCCATCCAAGGCTACAGAACCCGGTCTGTCCTGCTATTTACCCATAAATTGGGGGAGAAGAGGATTTATACCTTTTCCAAGGGTATTAGCACATAAGCGAATGTAATGGATTTGACTGGAATTTGAAAAGTAAATTTTATGAGGTGTAGTTGCTAATCTCATGCCTGACCAGTTTTGAATTCAGGGTCGTCTTGCTTTTTAAATTCTTTTTTTTTTTTTTTTTGCAGTTTGGAAATTATGAAGAACCCTGTGACTACTAGTTGCAACCATCATTTCTGCAAGTAAGTATTTTATTTGTCTATAGTAAAGTATCCCAATCTGCCCTAGTTTGCAGTGAGAAAACGTATCAAAATAGTGAAAATTCCTTCCATTTTTAACTGCTGATATTTTATTTATTTTCAAGGTTATTTTAATAATGGTGCCATGTTTTGTCAAGCTCTCTATGTCTGCATGATGATGTGTTTCTGCAAATCATTCCATAAGCTGTGATTACATCCAAGGCTGGCTGTATGCAAATACACTAGAACTCGCTATGTTCTACAGTTTTGTCTCCAAACTAGGGCTGTAATCGATGTCAACAATGAATGACGACAGATGCTTTTCAAAGCACTTGTTTGGTTTAGAAATATGATTTCTCTCTTAATCAGCAATGTCTTCCTTCTGCTTTGAGAAAGCAAACTTCTTTCTTATCTGATTTCTCACTAAGTTTTGCCATGGAAGACAGATCCCCTATACACTCACTTCCTGGCCACGTCGCTCACGAGATTTATTTTGCCAAAATACAAAATTGTGGCACAAGGCTGAAAAGGGGTGGGGTGGGGTGTTGAGCTGGTCGTCACTGCTATCCTACACCTAGCTAATCCAATTTGCAACCCATTCACTTGTTACAATTTACCACATTCACCAAAAGAACCTGTCCATCATCAATCAACCCTCCATTCACCATAATACCTTATACATTCAGGGGCCTACAAAAATGCACCCCAAAATGTGAAAATTTGAAAATTCCACGATTTTTTTTTTTTTTTTTTTTTGCACAAAAATTTACAAACGATGAGACAGGGTGGGTGGAGATGACCCCCCCCCCTAAAAAAAAACAAACGGAAATATAAAAAACAAAAGAAACAAATCTGTGGCAAACTCACCCCCCCTTTCCATCCACTCGTGTTCCACCAATTGGAGAGGGGGAATTGACAAGTGTACAGGCCTAGTTTAAAATGTCAGTAGTTCCTCTAAGCAGGTCAATATTAAAGTGCCAAGAAAGAAATCCCAGTAGTTCAAATACTATCTAATGGCCCAATCCACCCTGGGCTGAAGGGGGACACAAGTCTATGCTCCTGCTGCTGCCAGGAAGAAATTCTCTAAATTTTGATACTTCAAATAAACATGGCTAGATTTTACTTTCTTGATAATCTTATTCAATCTTTTCAAATTTTCAACTGTACTTCAAATGCAATATCAGGGCATGATTGGTTGAAAATCCGCAAGAGCTGACCAAGCTTAGCTGTTAGCTCCAGTTTTTTCAAACAACTCTACTTTTACAGCTATCTAAAATCATGAACAAAATTTTATGTTTGCCAATTCAAAGGTGGGCTGGGGACATGATTCTTAAGAAATCCTGGTGATTAAATGGACTTAAAAGAAAAAAAAAGAATATATCTATTCATCTCCTAAGGATATGTAACAGATTGTATTGCTACATCTGTAATAAAAGTTTTTAGATATATGGAAAATGAAATTTTAGTTTGGGATACCTGCTATAATTCTTTAACCTTGCACCATTATCATTTACTGACTAACATCCTCATCTTTGTTGTTTTTGCTCAAATATTTTGCCCCTCATCTCTCTGTATAAATGACAAAAAAAATAAAGTTATCAATTAAATTCTTAAAATATTCTTTTGCAGCTTTTGTATATCTAAATTCTTAAACACCAAAAGATACGTGCCCTGTCCAATGTGTAAAGTGCTTTTGTCAAAAAGGTAAGTCTTTCATATTGACTCATACCTATTGTCCTGTTAGCTTGACTGAAACTATCCAGAGTGGGTAGCAAATAATATATGCATTCATTTTTTACCAATGACAAAATAACATTAATTTTAAATGATCAGTGACATTTGAAAAGAACAATGAAACGTTTGAAACCCTGTTTCAAAAACTTTCTAAACCATCTTCACATTGCATTACAATATTCATATAGTCATTACTATGTTTGTTTGTTGTTGTTTTGTTTTTTGTATCATCCTGAGGAAGGGAGTAAAGCCACTAAGACACAAGGGATTACAGGGTGTGGAAAAATTAGGAACAGAAACATTAATAATGAGCAGGAAGAGGAAAAGGGTAATCAGGAAGACAGTAGATAGCAATTGACACTGCTTTTAAATTTCTTATCTAAGTCTGTTCATATATATATATATATATATATATATATATATATATATATATATATATATAAAATTTAGTGTGTTCATTATTTAACTATCTCCGTCTTTTCACTATCTTTTTTTAATCTGTTTCACCCCATGCAAGGCAGTAAAGCCCCTAAGACACAAGGGGTTACTGGGTGTGGAAAAATTCGAAAGATAAACATTAATAATGAACGGTTACAGTAAAAGAGTAGTCCTAATAATGTAAATAATGTACATAATACCTCATCTCAGAAATATAGACAGACTCTGATTGACATTGCATTTAAATTTTTGCAGACACACACACACACGCACATATATATAATTTTTAAAAAAAATTAATTTTTCTTTCTTTCTCTTTTTTTTTCTTTTTCTTTACCAGGAGTCTCCGAGAAAATACTAAACTTAAAAATATAATTGACAAAGTAAACAAATTGGTTTCAGCCATAGAAATTGACACCGGTTGGACATGTAAGTTCTTTATTTATTTTCTTAACAAAAACATTGTCAAAAATGATAAGTACAATGGAAAAATGTTATAATAATAATTTTTCTCTCACTTGAAACACTCTTTATCTTTGTTCGATGTTCAGAGAACTGGCATGACAAGCCATTGTGATGTAGTTTTGTCCGAAAGATGCTTTACACTTAAAACACTGTCAGGCAAAACTAAATATATTTTGGCGAGTAAAAGACTTTTAAAATATGATTGTATCATACAAAATTTTAAAACCGAGATGACAATCCAGCATATGCATGATGTCGCAGAAATGGCTTCCACATACACTTCCCAGAAATGTATGGCTGGCTACTCATATTTGTATGTACCTGTCTACTAGAGCGGCTAGCCAATCCCTATTTCAGACACTTGCTCGAGTGCATTTGTGCTTATTTATTTTCTGGGAATGAGCATGTTATCTAGCATGATCAACAATTTGAACTAGGCCAGCATGGTCAAGCCCTCAGCCACAATGACTTGTGACTTTGTGTTAGCATAGCTATCAACGGCACTCATGGGTTCTGTCTACCCAATTTCATTCACAAGGCTTGGGTCAACCCATATTATAGTTGTTAGGCACTTTCCAAAGGTGCTGCACACTGGGATCAACCCCATCCAGTCCGTTAACATCAGGAAGTCTCCTTTCTGACAAATTGACCATGGTGAGATTCGAACCCTGGTCTCATGGTCAGAATGCAAACGTTCTAACCACTCGGCCACGTGCCCATATACTTCCCAGAAATACCTACCACATAATGGTCAGACAAAAGTATTTTTGGGAGGTATTTTGCTCGACCTTGTATTTTTTTTTTTTTTTTTTTATCATTTTCGGTGATGGAAGAAAGTTTTTAATAATTTTGTGCTGGAGAATTACCTTGGAGGGCCAGGGTGGCATAGCCTAAATTTGCGCATAAAATGAGCAAATTGTGGGCAAGGTGAACCGTATCAGCATCGGCGCTGGAATGATACAGCGCTGTAGCTGGCAGTGTCAGCAGTTTTCCAGCTTGGCAAATACGAATAAAGGAAGTGAGTGTTTGTTGGGATGGCAGTAAGCGTTTGTGCTCAGCCTAGGTCAAGTCGATGTGTTGCAGTGTGTGCTAAACCAGCATCTGTTGCTGTTATGTAGTGTTTTCACAGTGGAGGCTTGTATTTGTACTAAGTCGGTCCTAAAATAGGTTCAACGTACAAAACGTTAGGAACTTGATATAATAGGCAATGACACAGTAATCTAGTTGTGGTGGCTGATACTTTAATATCCGACTAACAGTTGTCCAACATCGACTGACTGACCAACTCTCTGCCGACTGCTACTACTACTCCTTATTATAGGCGGGAGAGTCTAACTATAGAATAGGTGTGTACCACTATAACAGTTGCGATTGTTGTTCCAGTGTCTATGCTACAGCAAAAACGGTTTCCTGATACAGATTTCTCTGTGAGAAAGATCATTTACCATTGTACACTGGTGTGCAAATGTTTTGGGACAATTTCATAAAATGATTATACATTTATACAAGGAAATCTGGACTGTGTTCCATTGAATTGAGGCAATTATACGAGCCAAAACTTTAGAAAGTATTTAAGTTTTTTTTTTTTTTTTTTTAAAAATAACAAAAAGATCACTCTTTGCAAAGACAAAATTCCTTTTACAAAAAAGAGCTTGAGAAGCCAAAACTTTTTTTAACTTTTTTTTTTTTTTTAAGAAAAAAGAGCTGAAATGAGAAGTTTTCACTGGAGGGCCCAGTATTTTTACATGGCCTTATATCAGTATCACTTATCATCCACCATACAACATTATCGGAAATGGAGTAACTTGTTTTAATGTGTCATAAAGGTCATAAGATGTACTGAGAAAAGCAGACTTCTCATCACTCTTGATGTTGGGATTAAATTAACTAAAGTAATTAATTTACCAAAGTAGATCAAAAGTTTTGTATGCCAGCTGATCTACTTCTGTTCATGTCTATCTACTTCTGTTCATATCTTTCTGGCCCTCTCTGTTCGTATCTATCCATCTCGGTTCCTATCTATCTATCTATCTATCTCAGTTCCTATCTATCTATCTATCTATCTATCTATCTCAGTTCCTATCTATCTAAGTTTCTATCTATCTATCTATCTCAGTTCCTATCTCTCTATCTATCTATCTCAGTTCCTATCTCTCTATCTATTTCAGTTCCTATCTATCTATCTATCTATCTATCTCAGTTCCATTCTATCTATCTCAGTTCCTATCTATCTATCTATCTCAGTTCCTATCTATCTATCTATCTCAGTTCCTATCTATCTATCTATCTCAGTTCCTATCTATCTATCTATCTCAGTTCCTATCTATCTATCTATCTATCTCAGTTCCTCTATCTTGTTCATCTATCTATCTCAGTTCCCATCTATCTATCTATCTCAGTTCCTATCTCTATCTTTGTTCTATCTATCTCAGTTCCTATCTATCTATCTATCTCAGTTCCTATCTATCTATCTATCTATCTATCTATCTATCTATCTATCTCAGTTCCTATCTATCTAAGTTTCTATCTATCTATCTCAGTTCCTATCTATCTCTTGTCTATCTATCTATCTTGTTCGTATCTATCTATCTCTCATCTATTCCTATCTCTCTCTATCTATCTTTCATCTATTCTATCTATCTATTCTATCTATCTCAGTTCCATTCTATCTATCTATCTCAGTTCTATCTATCTCTATCTTTCTATCTATCTCAGTTCCTATCTATCTATCTATCTATCTCAGTTCCTATCTATCTATCTATCTATCTATCTATCTATCTATCTATCTATCTATCTATCTATCTCAGTTCCATTCTATCTATCTATCTATCTATCTATCTATCTATCTTCTATCTATCTATCTCAGTTCCATTCTATCTATCTTTGTTCCTATTCTATCTATCTCAGTTCCATCTATCTATCTATCTATCTCAGTTCCATTCTATGTATTCTCAGTTCCTATCTATCTATTATCTATCTATCTATCTTTGTTCTATCTATCTATCTATCTATCTATCTATCCTCAGTTCCTTTGTTCGTCTATCTATCTATCTATCTCTATCTTTGTTCCTATCTATCTATCTTTGTTAGATTCATCTATCTATCTTTGTTATCTATCTTTTCGTATCTATCAGATCTAATTGTTGATGTATCTGTTATTTCATTTTGGGTTTCAATTTTTTTTTATCTATCTATCTTTGAATCATGAAAACATGCATGCAAAATCTTTCTATCTATCTATCTTTGTTAATTTATCATCAAAATATCTATCTTGTTCTATCGTCTTTATTTGTTCGTATACAAAAATCTATAAAATCTCCATGCACAATATAAAGAAAGTGAGATCTATCAGTTTTTCAAAATCTTTTGTTCAGGCGTTCATCTATTTTTTTGTTCGTACCTCAAAAAAATCTATGTCTATCTGGCAGAGGAAACAATCTATTTTGTTAAAATCTATCTTTGTTCGAATTTATCTATCTTTGTTCGGTAATCTATCTATCTTTGTTCGTATTAATCTTTTAGTTCCTCAGAATCAAATATTGACTCAATGTTCAACCTGCCTGCATGCAAAACATAATGCATTACACCTGTATATTCTGCCATATTGTGTGATGGCATCAGGAAATCAAATAAACTGAGGCTTTGAATCAAATATTGAAACAATGAGATTTTGAGATGGCATGAAATTAAACTATTTGACCGTGTGTTCAAGTGAATTTATGAATGTTTAAGGATTAAGGATTAAGAAAGCAAGCATTGCATGCTCTTAGGACTTTGTCTTGGATTTAAATCACCTTGAAGACTAATGTCAGGCAAAACTCTGTATTTTGACCAAAAATATTTTGAATAAAACATGTTTAATCAGAATATGGTTGCATCCTGTTAACTCTGAAATCGTCAAGAGAGTCCGTTATATATTTATTTTAATTGGTTTTTCATTTCAGCTGATTTGGTACTGGCAATACCGGATAGCCTTGCTAATTTACCACCTTTTTCTTTTCTCCCTGCAGACACTCCAGCTGCCAAGAACCACACCTTACTCACCCACGACAAAAAACAAAGCACAAATGGTATGAAACGGAAGATACCGTTGGAGGATAACAATGAAGTGAGTTGGAAATATTCAAAAATAAATCTGAGATGAGATGGGGGGGGTAATAAATCCTTAATTTGGGGGATGAAGTTATCCAGGATTTGTCGAGCGGGTGGGAATAAATGCTTGGAATCTTTAGAGGTCAGTCGTCAGATCACTCAGCTATTTACTGCTGTCAGATCAGTTCGACAAGGTCAAATGGGCAGCTGATCTCAAAAATGGCCTACAGTCTGTTGTTAAATGGGGCAAGCAATAGCTTGTTAAATTTAACATCTCAAAAAAATGAAATGGCTCTTGTTTAACCATCTGAGAGAAACCTTTTTTGCCTTCCATCAGCATGACTTATGCTAACCTTTAGAAAAATGACTCCTTGCACCTTCTCAGACTAACATTTTCCACTGATGTGACGTGGAAAGAGTATATTGAATCAATTGCTAGGTCTGCAGCTAAGAAAGTCGGTCCAGTGTTGTGCTATACAAAATCTGTCTTACATGTTTATAAGTCTACCATTTATCCTTGCTTTGAATATTGCTGGCCTGGTGCTTCTCCTATATATTTAGAAATTCTTGATAAAATGCAAAGAAGAGAAACACCAAGAAACTCACAATGTTGTATTACAATGGCAATTTAGAGAAGAGATTTGAAGATTAGATATTTACATTAGCAATTTTAAATTTGAGCAGTATTTCAACTTGGGATATGCCATTTTATTTAAATTTTGAATTAATTTGTCTAATTTATTTTTTGATATTTTGTTAAAAACATTCAGTTATTATCTTACTTATTATAAAACGCAGATTGTGTGTGTGTCTGTATGTTTATATATTGGATTGGATTTCCTACATTTTTCAACCAATTTCAACAAAACTTCACAGGACTACGTAAAATTACCTTGCGGTGGTTCTGACAGCGCCCAAAATCGGAAAAACACAATTGTTTTTGCATGAAATCAATTTGAAAACGCAATAAAACACGATTCTGGTACCAGAATGAAAGGTGGACAACTCATATCGACTTATACTTATTATAAAACCCAGGTTGTTTGTGTGTGTGTTTCCTTTATATATGTGATCGGATTTCCTACATTTTTCAACTGATTTCAACAAAACTTCACTTCTTTTTGGCAGGTAGTGTTTCTTGCACACTTTTTTCTTTTGTTTTTACATTCAGAATGCTTTAAAAATTCCATTTACAAGAAAATTGTTTATAATAAAATTCTATTCAATCAGTAGACTCATAACAATTGAAAACAATGTTTTTGTTTCAGTTTGGGTTTGACCAATTCGTCAAAAAAAAAAAACAAAAAAAAAAAATAATTAAGACATGCGTGTCCGTCAACCTTAAACAATAATCTTTGTCAATTTTTCAGTCTTTATGATGGTCGATACTTGATCTATCTCTTACTGTTACATCCTCGGGCAACGCCAGGCTCTACTGCTAGTAGTTATTATAATCAACAGCAAATAACTTGAATCTCTATAATAAATATCTGAATAAAGTCAAACATTTTGACTAAATTTTTACAAAATGGTAATTAATTTTGTAAAATTTTAGTCAAAATGTTTGACTTTATTCAGATATTTATTATAGAGATTCAAGTTATTTGCTGTTGATTATTATAAATCAATGTAAATCCTTTTACTTAAAAAAATTCAAAACTATTTGAATGCATTCTTAAAGAAAGAAGCTCTGATTAAAAGTTCTACCTCAAAGATAATTATGCACTGTAACATTCCATTGTTTTATTGTCTAGTCATCTTACTTTTTTTATTTTTGGACTTTTTAACATTTAAAAAACGATGTGTAGATATTTGCTATTTCATTATATGTAATAAAACTTTAAATTATGCTTTTCTTTTCAGTTTTAATAATGATTATAGCATTTTGCAATTTTCTCATAAAATACTAGCAGTAGAGCCTGGTGTTGCCCGGGGATGTAACAGTAAGAGTTAGATCAAGTATCGACCATTATGAAGACTGAAAAATAAAATTGACAAAGATTATTGTTTAAGGTTGACAGACACGCATGTCTTAAATAGTTTTTTTTTTTTTTTTTTTTTTACGAATTGATCAAACCCAAACTCAAACAAAAAACATTGTTTTTAATTGTTATAAGTCTATCGATTGAATAGAATTTTATTATAAACAATTTTCTTGTAAATGGAATTTTTAAAGCATTCTGAATGTAAAAATAAAGAAAAAAAGTGTATTGCAAGACAATAAGAAACACTACCTGCCAAAAAAAGTGAAGTTTTGTTGAAATCGGTTGAAAAATGTAGGAAATCCGATCCCATGTATAAGGAACACACACACACACACACACACGAACAACCTGGGTTTTATAATAAGTATAACTCGATATGAGTTGTCCCCATTTCATTCTTTCGATGTCTCTTAATCGAGTTTTCAAATTGATTTCATGCAAAAACAATTGTTTTTCCAATTTTTGGTGCTGTCAGAACCACCACAAGGTAATTTTATATAGTCCTGTGAAGTTTTGTTGAAACCAGTTGAAAAATGTAGGAAATCTGATCCAATATATAAACGTACAGACACACACACACACACACACACACACAACCTGGGTTTTATAATAAGTATGACTATAAAAATGGAAAAAATGAAATTTGCCACAAGTAAAAGCAGGAAAAAAAAACAGAATTTACCAAAATTTACAACAAATAAAATGTCTGAATTTACTTAGGTTTTATTACAATTCTAATCATCACTTTTTAAAACAGTAAACATTGCTGAGGAGTGGAGGTAGCTAAAATAATAGCAATGTCGGTGGGGGGAAAAAATGTCCTTTTGACACTCCATTTTTTTTTTTTTTTTTTTTTTTTTTTTTTTTTTTTTTTTTTGCAAGTAGAGATTTTCAAGTTTGCCAATTTTTTTTTTTCTGCTTCATTTTCCAGGTGCTGCATGAGAACAATCGTAAAAACACTCGCTTTGGGAAAAGGCGAAAATCTTCTGTCGAGAAGCATAAAGGTAGTTCTAATCTTATTTTTAGTAGTGATTTTTTTTTTTTTTTTTGTGTGTGTGTGTATCCCCATATATTCAGATTTCATTGGGTGTATTTGGACAGCAATTTTTTGTTTGCACAATTTTGGTTAAAGGTGACAGGCCGTTCTTTGCTAGGGATTTAAAATTTTTATTTTTTTATATTTCAAATCATTTCATTGGTTTCTGGTACATATTTGAATAGGAATTGTCCGATATCTAAGCTCTTTCAGGTACGCATATTCAGCAAGTAATTTTTCTTTTCTTTCCTTCCTGAACGAGGAAACATCTTCCTGCTAAGTGAGAGACTTTCTCTCCATAATGTTGAGGAGCATGGAACCACCTCTTAATTGCTGTTGTTCCCAGGTATACCCTGACCCAGGGTGGTAGCACCTGTTAGGGTCCCAGCTATAGGCAAATAGTTGACCCCAAAACTGGGGCTAAGATACTATGAAAGTATAAAAATAAATTTTTATAGTCAGAATACTAGCTTTTTCAAAGTTAAAAGAAATTATCAGCAATACATTTTTGTAAAAAAAAAAAAAAAAAAAAAATATATATATATTTCAGTTTCCAAACAAAACACTATGAAAGTATAAAAATACATTTTTCTAGTAAAAATACCAACAATACCAATTTACATTATTCGAACTATTGTTCTCATCTTTTATCATAACATTTCAGCCTATGTATGCTCCGGCCTTCTTCAGGTGGTTGGAATGTCAAACTGAACCCTTTATTTCGCTCGCTGGGGTAGACTGTTTTAGTTCCACGTGCCATACCTAATGGATATTAGTTATCTCCTGTTAATTCCCCTCTCCAAGTTCTCCACTGCCTTAACCAGATATTGAACTCACAACTCTTTGGGTCCTGTCAGAAGATAACTGATAACTGACATCCATTAGACATGGTATGTGAAACTAGAACAGTCTACCCCAGCAAGTGAAATAAAGGGTTCAGGTTGACATTCTAACCACCTGAAGAAGGCCAGGCATACATCGGCCGAAATGTTGTAATAAATATGGCAACAGAGATGAGATGACAATAGTCTGAATAATGTTAATAATATTTCAACTCAGAAATATAGACAGTTACTGAAGGGCCGAAACGTTGTAATAAATATTGTGATAAAGATGAGGATAATAATCCGAATAATGTAAATAATGTACATCATACCTCATCCCAGAAATATAGATAGATCCTGAAGAGCCGAAATGTTGTAATAAATTTGGCAACAGAGATGAGATGACAATAGTCTGAATAATGTAAATAATACCTCATCTCAGAAATATAGACAGATACTGAAGGGCCAAAACGTTGTAATAAATATTGTGATAAAGATGAGGATAATAATCCGAATAATGTAAATAATGTACATAATACCTCATCTCAGAAATATAGACAAATTCCTATTTATTGTAAAATTATCAACAATGCATTTTATCTGTAGTTGAAGGCATGCAACTTAGCCAACCAACTGACATGAAAGAACTTTTTCATGATATTAATCTATATAGAATTTTGGGCACCTCGGCGTAATGGTTAGCAAGCTTGTCTCACTAAAACAGTCAGGACTGAATAGTGAGTTCGATCCTCACTGGGTACCCCATACTTTCAGCCTTGTGCCACATCTAAGCTATGCTTAGAAAATCACCATATAGTATCCTACAATTTCTTAAAATAAATCAAACTGTATTCCAAAATATAACTTCAACAAAACTACAACATAAAACATGCATATCACTGCCTCTAGTAATTATGTCCTCACAAATATATGCACAAAAGCAGAGTATCATCTACCATGTATTCAATTGTGAAAGCAGAATAACATATATCATATTTTTATTTCAAAGCACACAAAAAATTAAATTTCGGCATTAAATGACCAATAAGGTGTTGATGTGCCTTTTAAACAAGCAAATCAATCAACATGTGCACCAGTATCCATCCCACATTTTGACTATTAGTGAATGCCCCCACAAAAAAAACTATCAAAGAATAAAAATAAATTTTTATATAAAATAACTTAACAACAAAACATTTATAGCAAAATTACCAACAATATACGTATATTAAAAAACTGTAGTGACTTCACTGAAATCTGTTTAAAATATGACAAAACAACTAAAATAAAAGGACTCTTTATGATATTAATTCATGTAATATCCTACAATTTCTTAAAGAAATCAAAATGTATTTCAAAATTCCAACCATCTGAAGAAGGCCGGAGCATACAACGGCCGAAACGTTGTGATATATATGGCGACAAAGATGAGGTTGAGGACAATAGTTCAAATAATGTAAATAGTGTACATAATACCTCATCTCAGAAATATAGACAGATACTGAAAGGCCGAAATGTTGTAATAAATATGGCGACAAAGATGAGGAAATTAGTCCGAATAATGTAAATAATGCACATAATACATCATTTCAGAAATATAGACAGATACTGAAAGGCCGAAACGTTGTAATAAATATGGCGACAAAGATGAGGACATTAGTCCGAATAATATAAATAGTGTACATAATACCTCATTTCAGAAATATAGACAGATACTGAAAGGCCGAAACGTAATAAATATGGCAACAAAGATGAGAACTATAGTTCGAATAATGTAAATAGTGTACATAATACCTCATCTCAGAAATATAGACAGACTCCGTATTCCAAAATATTTAACAAAACTACAATATAAAACACACACATTAGCACCTCTAGTAATTGTCCACACAAACAAATATATGCATAAAAGCTGAGTATCATCTACCATGTATTCAGTTGTGAAAGCAGAATAGCATATATTTTTATTACTTCAGAGCTCTCAAGAAAATTGAATTTTGGCATTAAATTTTGGCGGGAAGCCACTAGGACGCAAGGGGTTACAGAAAATTTGGAGCAAGATCAGATAGGAGTGATAGAAGAAAGGATGAGGAGAAGGATCGTGGATAGATCAAGGCAACTGGAAATGTCGATTGACATTACATCTGAATAGCTGGAGATTATAGCTCTCAGGGAAACTAGGGAAGGGAGTTCCACAGGCGAGAGGTGCGAGACATGAAGCTATTGGAGTAGAAGAGACGGCTACATTTAGGAGTTTCGACAGTGAAAGGGTGAGAGCGGGATGCCAGCCTCGTAGGGCGCTTGAACTCATGAAGCCTGGAAACCAGTGAATGCAGCTCCTCGAAGCAATTGCCATGAAAGTATTTGTAAAACAGAGGCGACGTGAGAAAGTGACTGTAGACCAGATGCCAGAACAGGGCCAATTATATTGCATATCCGCCTCTGGAGCCTATCAAGAACCCCGAGGCAAACAGAAGGGGCTCCAGACCACATATAGCAGCAATACTCCATGCAAGGGCGAATTGTAGAAAAATTTCCTGGCGTGGCACAGGGAGCCAACTTTCCTTGCGGTGGACGAAGCAATTGACTGAATGTATTTGTTCCATCTCAGGTCAGCCGTCAACGTGAGACTGAGGAGCCGCAGAGAGTTGCTCTCGAGAAGTTGAGCATCAGACATTCTAATGGAGGGCAGGGAAGGATCTCTGTAGTGATTAATAGAGAGCAGTTTTGTTTTTGAGGCATTAAAGTTGACCAGCCAATTCCTGCCCCATTCCACAACCGATTGGAGGTCCTTTTTCGAGACGCACGGCCAGGTTAGTTTTGTCAGCGACACTAGATTTGTTTTTGAGGCAGGAATAAATTGTGGTGTCATCCGCGTAAGGAGTTGAAATGCCATTAAACAAACAAATCAAATCAAAAAAATTCCCATCCTAATAAGCGAGTATCATTCCCTCCCTTGGAACCTTGCCCTCCCTAATAAGTGAGGAACCTTCTTCCTTTACTAATTATTGAATCTCCTCTCCTGAATAAGCCAGGAACACTCCCTCCTTATTAAATGAGGACGCTTCCCTCCTTAGGAAGTGAGATTAAGTCAAATTTAATTTCTTTTTTTTTTTTTTTTCTATTTCTTGTATTTCCTATGAGTAAATGATGTGTTGGAAATGAAATTGTAAATAAGGAGTTTGGAACGCTATAATAGAAAGGTTACTCGAAAAGTCATTTTGTTTCTATTTAAAAAATAATACTTAAATCGAAGAGCCAAGTTCGAATTCCAGTCGAATCCATTACATTCACTTACGTGCTAGTACCCTTGGAAAAGGTATGAATCCTCTTCTCCCTCCCCCAGCTATGGGTAAATAGCAGGACAGACCGGGTTCTATATTACCACAGAAAGAAATGGCAAACTACTGCGGAAAATATCTACCTTATCAGTCTTGTAAAAAGATACATGATCGCTATGTATCACTTAACTGACTGACTGATGAGCTAATACCCTTGGGAAAGGTATGAATCCTCTTCTTCTCCTCTCTCACTTATGAGTAAATAGCAAGACAGACTGGGTTCTATAGCCTTGGATAGCAATTGGTCTACTGCAGAAAGAAATGGCAACCTACTGCAGGAAATAAAATCTGCCTCGTCAGTCATGTATCGAAAGATAACTGATAGCTAAAGCGTGTATAATGCATGGCACATGACTGACTGACTGACGTGCTAATAATCTTGGGAAAGGTATGAATCCTCTTCTTCTTCTTCTTCTCCTCCTCTCCCCCAGCTATGTGTAAATAGCAGGACAAACCGTGTTCTATAGCCTTGGATGGCAACTGGTCTACCGAAGAAAGAAATGTTAATGGGGGAAAAAAGATCTGCCTCGTCAGTCATCTATGGAAAGATAAATGATCGCCTGAACGTGTACATACATGGCACATAACTGACTGGCCCCTTATTAAATTGCTTTTCTTTTACAATTTCTTTTCATAAACTTTTTATTTTTAAAGGAATCTCAAAAGGTCGTCTGCCTGTTGCATGTTCGTAAGGTTATTATTTCTTCAGATTATGAAGAATGCATAGGTTATCGAATGGATGTCAGCTTCGAATGAGAATTTGTAGAGCCGAGTTCGAATTTCAATAGAGTTGGTTACATTAAATGAGGTGCAAATCACCTGGGAAATGTGATGTATCCATTTCACCCCATCATTTTGGTTTGGGCACTTTGACGTGGTATAATGGTTAAAAAAAGCCTATCTCACTAGATCAGTTATGAGTGAGTAGTGACTTTGATCCTCACTGGGTGCTCTATACTTTCGGTCTTGTGCCACATCTAAGCTACGCTTAGAAAATCACTAGGCAATTTGATGCAGTGTAATGTTTAGCAAGCTTGTCTCGCAAGATCAGTTACAACTGAATAGTGAATTTGATCTTCACTGGGCGCCCCATATATTTGGCCTTGTACCACAGAAAAAAAGCTACGTGTCGTAATGGTTAGCCAGTTTGTCTCGTTAGCTCAGTTATGGCTGGGAAGTGAATTCAAACTGCACTGGAGGCTCTGTACTTTCAGCCTTATGCCACATTTAATCTATGTTTAGAAAACCATTTTGGGGTATTCCGACGAGGGGAGCGGTTAACAAGCCTGTCTCGCTAGATCACTTACGACCGAGTAGTGACTTTGATCCTCACTGGGTTCTTGATACTTTCAGTCTTGTGTCACATCTGAGTTACACTTAGAAAATTATTTTTGAGTGCTTCAACGTTGTGTATTGGTGAGCAAGCTTGTCTTGCTAAATCAGTTATGACTGAGTAGTATGTT